CATCCTCCAGGTTTTCATCATCTTTATATGTCACAGACTGCATGTTTGGCAAATGTAGTCGGAGCTGCACATCAAAGGATAAACTCCAAACATCGGAATCAATATCTTGTGCACAACTTCGGTGGAGATATGTACCTAGCATTCTTATATCGCTTTATCTCATTGATGACCCCATCATCTCTATCATCTTGGTCTGCATTTACCGAGAATGATGCTTGGTCGTGGCCTTTATATACGTACTTAAACAGATACTTCACTACTTTAATGCTTGAGCATGCCTCAATATTTATGTGACAGTTGTATCTAAAGAGCAGACCGGGGTTATATGGCATAACCCACCTGTTATCTAACTCTGCTCTCCTGATCCTAACTCGACGTCCGTCATCTCTTCTTCGGTAGGTTGGATATGAGTCCTTTCCTTGTTGGGTTGCCTCACAGAACTATCTAGGGTACTAAAAGCGACACTCTCCATTCACCATGCATGCACAATATTTGTTTAGCACCCCACATGGGCCATGTAGCATATGGCGAATAACCAGATCATGCAACTCTGGATATTTATCCTTGTCTGGTATCTCAGCTGAAACAACTCGATCATATGCATCTGGGGTTGTCAACTTACTCCTTGATTTCATGATCAACAAGAAATGCTCATGTGGCAGACCCCTTTTTTGGAACTCGGTAACATGAACATATGCAACAACTTCACCAAAGTACTTCCTCTTGATTAGGAGTTATTTTAGGTCCCGCAACTTTGCCCTATATACTCTTGCAACCAGTTCTGGCCTATCTTGTGGATCCTGCCCCGGTTCGAGATTGCTTGTTATCTTTTCCCAGTACGGATTGCATGTCATGGTGATGAAGTAATCAGGCTTGCCAAAACGCTGCACAATAGCCATTGCATTAAGGAATCTTTGCTGCATGTCTCGATCGCATACAGGGAATGATCTTGGCAGCACAATTCTCTTGCCAACCTTAGAACCATGCGTCTCTCCACATGATATAACATCAACCAACCCCTATAATACATTTAAGCACTTAATTTTAGCTTTATGTAGTAACAAGCATGCAAAGATCGTAAAAACAATTACAAACAATAGATTTTGAGTGTTTACCCGTATAGCTCGGCCCATATTAGTTTTTGGTTATCGTGGATTAGAGTACCAATCTAGCCTCATAGACTCAATCTTTATATACATATCCACAGCCCACTATTGGAAAAAGACGTCCTCCGAATAATAAAATATCAAAATTCCCCTTCGACTTGCAACTTGAAGCAAGAGTATTCTCGCATGCGATTACATATTTTGCAGATTGTCTTTGCATCAAAGAATCTCCACCTAGGACATCACCTTCTTGTACTTCATTGTCGCCATCTTCCACTTTGGATTCTCATTATTATTATCACCGGGAAATAGATAAAATATTAGAACATTTTATAATATGGTACTATAGCATCAAATCATTAGTATAGCAAGTAAGTATTATAGGAAAAATATATTACTAAGAGATAATACCATGATTACCACCAGACGCCCTTCATCTCTACTCTCTGCCATTGATTATTAGTAGAAGCCGTGGTTGCACATGATGGTGGAGTGAATGGACTCCCACCGTATGGCATATATTTGTTCCATCCTGTCTCCCCTCGTGGGTTATATACGAGGATAAGCTAAGGCGCCATAACAACCATGCCATGCCCGGATATCTTTGTGGACGACGATCGGTCTTTCCATATACAACCACACTTCTATCAAAACATCTTTGTGGATCGTTCCCATCCATCCAAATAGCAAAGAACTTGGGATGCAATTAGGGGCATTGTACCTTCTTTGGTCAGGCGTGATATTTGTATTGAGTTCAATCCGGTACTCATCCAAGTTTGGAAAATCCCCATTTCTCCTAAAAGTCCGAACATATGGGTTATCTTGCAAGATTGCTAGGATAGTCCGAATGATGTTGATATCAAGATCGGGGGACCTTTTGACTCTATGTGATAAGGCCTCATCTTCTCAGATCATAAAAGTAGAGCTTTGCAAATGCCGAGCACCACTGCCACACGCACCGTGTGGTCAAGACGATGGTACAGACCCACCATGAACTCAAAATGTATAAACACCGGTCCCTCTTGGACTTTTATATCATCATCGGTGGTAACCCCTAGACTTGCAAAGGAGAAATGTGAGTTGATATAACGTATATGTTTCCTGAAATATTTTGCATCATCGTGCACTTGACTTGTGATCAACCTTTTGAGCTCTGCAGAAACATCTGGTATATGTATCTCATACTTTTCCTTTTCTACAACAAAACCCGGGTGTCTCACCTCAAACCTCATCGCACCACAATAACTCTGCAGTTAGGGACCTTTCTCAATTTATGTCGCTCGGCGGTTCTACGGTAGATGTAATCATATGGATCATCATGTGTCACACTTGTTTGTAGCTGGACCTCCGGAAGCACGCGATATGACTCATAATCATGACCTTTGTAGACATTGCAGTAATTATTTTCATTTAATATATAAACACGTCAAAGTGAAGCTAGACTTGTAACCAGGCATATATATTGTTGTCACAGTACCTTGCGCATGTTGGTGAATGACTCCATCATCGTATAAGTTTTCATTCTGCAATCCATGGCCGGCGCCTATGGCATCTTCATCACCGTCCCAACCATCATGCGTTGGTTCAAATAGTTCACGGTCAAATTCTTCTTCATTGTGTAGTTCAGGTAAATGAAGTTCTACAAATATTTTAAAAATAAGTATGCTAACATATATTTAAATTATATTTTATTGAAAAAAGCATGACGTTGTTGTGCTCGCTTGACTCACCGGAAGTAGGCAATGGGCCAGGAGGGACCGTACATGTGCGTCTAGCTCGTGGAACGTAATTATCATTTCGGTGTAGCCACTCTGTGGGATCTGCTAACTCGTCATCTTCCAATATAGTTGGTAAGCCAGTTCCAAAAGCTGCACCTTGGCATAGCAGGGACAACAGTTAATGATGTATCAGTTGGTTGCGAAAATGCACAATTTGAACAGTTATTATATCTCACCAGCTGGTGAAGACGCCGGCAATGTTTGGGACACAACAGAGGTTGGGCTATTATTTTGCATTGCAGCTTTCCTCCATGCTCGGTATTCACGTTGTTTCCTATTAGCTTCCTCCCTTTGTTGATCGGTCATTTCAGCTCTTCGTTTGCGTGCACGTGCATTCCTTGCTTCCCTCCTAGCATCGGCAGCTCGTCCGTAGGTCTCGCCTCTGGAGACAAAGGCGCATGTTAAAGTCAATATATAGAGATGGGGTGTGTAGACATAAAAGTGTGTTTCCTTTACAAAATAACCATCACTTATACCTAGGTCATTGTCGCTTATGTCCACAGACACAGCGATCGACTCTTGTGTTCGTCGTGCCTACGCCAACATCTCTACTATTTGTTTCCATATCTCCGTTGGAAAATATATTTGGCGTGTTTTCATTCATTACGTGGTCGGCAGTTTAAATCAAGTCCTATGATTGGGTGGCACAAAATGGTTGACCTCTACTTAATCAAAGCGGGTTATGGTGTAATAATAAGTGTCCAAAAATAGAAAGAGATTAAATACCTATGGACGATGCTGAAGTTAACTGGCACCGTCTCACGCAGCAAATGGAAGTGCTACTATTCTAGGTTGCATGTTTCTTCCGTTCTCGGTACTCACGTTGTTTCCGATTGATCTCGTCCCTTTGTTCCATGGACATATCAGCTCGACGTTTCCATTGTTGCATATTCCTTTGCTCCCTCCTCCGCGATTCCTCATCTAAAAATATGAAAACGTCCTTCCAGTAAATAGTGAAAAATATGAAAAGGTTTGCATACGAAAATATTTTAAGCATACCTATGACATTGGTGATATCACCTAGTGGTTCGCGTGTATATGTCGGCGTAATCATTTGGCTGACATTGGTGATATCACTTAGTGGTTCGGCGATGTATATGTCGGCGTAATCATTTGGCTTTGCGCTCAGCTGCGTATCTCTCTCGCGTGACATTTTGCTCGACCACCGTGTGGATCTCCGGGGGATCTCCCATGTGAACATCGCCTCTTCCTATGTACACAATTATTATTATCTCCGCTTAAATTAACATTAACATGGACACAGAATTACCTTGAACTCTTATGCGTGGTAGCTACGATGGTGTACCCAGGCGTGTAGTACAGGTGATCTCTAGGTCGTTTTAGCAGCGAAACCAATCACCACCAAGCATCCAGAACCTGGAGACAAGCAGGATTAGGTACAACCTCTGGAGACAAGCAGGATTAGGTGTTGTCAACCAGAAGCTACAATGTTAAGGATAAAATGTCACATATAGGTATAGCAATCATTCGATGTTATGATTCATTAGATTTGGGAGGCTCAGTCACACCAAACAAACACAATAGTCATGAGATGACATGATAGTGCAGATAAACATATTGGGTGCATCAAGTTTTAAGCTTTGAAACTATGTAGTGCCAAAGTTTACGCAAAGCATTAATCAATTCATTGTCACTGGCTCTAGATTTGAAGAAAGGCAAGGCAAACCTAAGCCCAGGCATGCAGGCATTCAAATAAACCCTAGCCTTCACGGAAATAAAAAAAAGGAAGGCAAGGCAAACCTTCAAGTGCGCCAGGTCTCAGGCTTTGTCCGTGGAGGTGGGGGCACTGGCCACGCGCATGATCTCCGTGGAGCTTTCGGAGTCGACGTCGCGGACGACACTCAATGTAGATCACGATGGAGGGACGTGTCGCTGCCGCTGATCGTACGTCGCGGAATCGCCGTTGCTGGTTGCCGTGATCATGATCCCAGTCGTCCTCCGTCGTGGACGGAAATAAAAAAAAGGAAGGCAAGTCAAACCTTCAAGTGCGTCAGGTCTCAGGCTTTGTCCGTGGAGGTGGGGGCACCGGCCACGCGCATGATCTCCATGGAGCTTTCGGAGTCGACGTCGCGGACGGCACTCGATGTAGATCACGATGGAGGGACGTGTCGCCGCCGCTGATCGTACGTCACGGAATCGCCGTTGCTGGTTGCCGTGATCAGGATCCCGGTCGTCCTCCGTCGTGGACTACTAGCACGGGCACGTCGCGGAATCGCCGTTGCTGGTTGTCATAACGGACGGGCGGGCGTCGGGCTTCCTTTTTTTTCGTCGATGACGGACGGGCGGGCGTCGGGCGTGCTCGCGCGGAAGGGAATTTTTGTTTTCTTTTTTTCGTCGATACGGACGAGAGCGTTGAAGTCTCCGTGGTGAGTCTCAAGTTTTTAATTATAGTAGAGATTATACAAAAGAAATGTGTGAAAGAAACGGCCAAGGAGAAGCAGCTCCGTCCGGCGGTGCGGGTGCGCTCCGCCTGGGGGGCTGATTGGCCGAACTAGACTGGAGCCTGCACTGGGCTACCGCACCACGCTTCGGTTCGCCCGGCGTGCGCTCTCCCTGTCTATCTCCCCCTCTCTGCGACGACTACGGCCGCCGCCGCCGCCGCCGCCCTACGCCAGGTGCCGAGGGCCTCTTCGCCGGCGACGAGCACCTACCAGGTATTCCCACCCCTTCTTCTCTTCCTGCGGTGCAAAACCGAGCACCCAAACCCTAACTGCTGTTTGATGCCTACTAGGAATTATAACTTCGAATTTTTGCAAAATTACTGGGTCCTCTCCTGACCCCTTCTCTCCCTTCCTGCTGTGCGAAACCCAGCATCCGAACCTTACTTAAAGCTATTTTAGCTACTTGTATTCGGATCTGATCTAGTTACAAGTGTATACCATCTCAAAAAAAAATTACAAGTGTATACATATACTATGCCTACTAATTTCGATTTTTTGGGCAAAATTATTGGGTGTTCATGTGTACACACATGTCCTATACTGGGTCCACCCCTGCTTTTATGCTCCTAGACTATCCGGTACCACTAATTTCTGTATTTCTAGAATGCATCTTTACAGCTACGTTTTCTGTCTGCAGACTTGGAGCAAGCCTCTCAACATGTCGTGGGCATAATCGAGAATGATCCTGGTAAATTTATTTTCTGTTGCCAAAAAAGTTATACATTTGTTTAGTTATATTATGTACATTGCAAGTTTTTTTCTTTTTTTAACACACGTTCCAAGTATGGCACAATGATATATATTGATATGGGTTCATCATTGGGCCTGATTGTGATTGGCCTTTTTTAAACAATTGCTCTTAAAAGAAAATTCGACTCTAAGACTGCATTTTGTATAGAGGATCCATACCAGTCATGTTGATTAATGATTGCCTAATGTCATTTTATTTTCATTGGGTTTTGATACTATTGTTGGGACCAACCTGCATTAGCAGTGTTTCATACTGCATTACAAAGATAAGCTTTTCATAACAGTACATGCAAGTTGCCACCTGCTTTAGTAAGGTTGGAAAATTGAGATGTATATGCCTGCTTCCATACACCTGTTGCACTTAATGAAGAGCAGCCATGTCTTTTAGGACACTGCCTTGAAGTAACACGATGCTAATTCTCAAATTCGAATTCACAGAATTTCTGCCTTTTCATTTTGGGTTGCCTTGGAGTAAGACAATACTCATTCTCAATTTAGAATTCCATGTATTTCTGCTTTTACATATTGAGCTGTCACAAGAAACTCCTGTCTTTGGCATTTGCAATGGAGTGGGAGGAAAACAAAATTCTAGAACCTAGACCTATCTTCCTCCATATATTATACATATTTGAACTGGCCCACACTGTTAATTTCTTTTCTCACATTGTAACTGATTGGCCTTTTTTTTCTGGCAAGGGAAGAAATAACTGAGCTTTCATATCTTGTATATTCAGGTGTTTTTACAGAACTGTTGCAGCAGATGCAACTGAAGGGTCTTCAAGTAAGTAATCAACTATTCTCACTCTGTGACTATGTTCTTGATAAAGGTAGATGGTTAGCAAACAGTCACCCCACCTTTTAACTTATATACAGTAATATCGGGAGTCTGTTGAATTTGATATATGTTTACACCTTACCGAAGTGAACATACAATGCACCTTTTCTTGTTAGTGGAATGAATTGTAAGCAATTATCCACACAGGTATTGGAACCAAGAATATCTGGCAATGTTTTGCTTGTTTAATACTTTCATTACTTTGTGACAGATGTTACCTGATATATTTCGTGATGATTGTATGATAAAACAGCCATAGTGAGTTGTTAAGGTCCTTTTAAACATATAAATGGCCATCAGATTAGTTTAGCCTAGCTCTGTAGGCTGCCTGAACCATGTAACTGGCTTTTTACAAGACCATAACAGCCTTTATTTAAAACATGCTGTAATCTAAGCATACTCAGATAGTATAAAACAGTGGCAGGTGTTTCCCCTTCCTCTATTGATCCCTGTAGCTTGTTCATGTACTTTTCAAGCTTTTAGTTGTTTCTAATAATAAAATTATATATAGTACGCGGCAACATAGAACAGAAATTTACTTTGTTGCAAAACAAGAGTGAGGCTCTCCTATTTGGCTATTTCTTCTTTTTTGTGAAACTTGACATTTCTTTTACATATTAAAAAATCGGGCAGATATGCTATGTTATCTTTTTCGTTATCAGGTTGATGAACTCTACTCACTTGACCTGGATGCTCTCAATGATCTTCAGTATGTGTCCTACATCTACCATTAATGTGAATGCCATTATTTTTTCTGAGTTAACAGAACCTAACTTGTGTTGGCATTTGCCAGGCCAATATATGGGCTAATAGTGCTATATAAATGGCGACCTCCAGAAAAGGATGAGCATCCTGTCATCAAGGATGCAATCCCAAACCTTTTCTTTGCTAACCAGGTCAGAAGCATTCGAGTTGGCAAGCGACTCCTCCCACCTTTATTCATCTGCATATCTGAAAATCAAGGATGTTCTTGACTTGCAGATAATTAACAACGCGTGTGCAACCCAAGCTATCCTTTCGGTTCTCTTGAACTCTCCTGGCATCACTCTTAGTGACGAACTTAAAAAGCTGAAGGAATTTGCAAAGGATTTGCCACCTGAGCTCAAAGGACTGGCTATAGTCAATTGTGCAAGCATTCGCATGCTAAACAACTTGTTTGCAAGATCAGAGGTCTCTGAGGAGCAGAAACCACCTAGCAAGGACGATGATGTATACCATTTCATAAGCTATGTTCCAGTGGATGGTGTCCTGTATGAGCTTGATGGGCTAAAGGAAGGACCAATAAGCCTGGGAAAATGCCCAGGTGGTGTTGGTGATGCAGGGTGGCTTAGGCTAGCGCAGCCTGTGATTAAAGGGCACATTGACATGTTCTCTCAGAATGAGGTAAGATTCAGTGTGATGGCAATCTTGAAGAACCGGAAGGAGATGTACACAGTGGAGCTCAAAGACCTCCAGAGGAAGAGGGAAAGCCTCTTGCAACAGATGGGTGATCCTTCTGCGACCAGGCACGTGCCATCTGTTGAGCAGTCACTAGCGGAGGTGGCAGCTCAGATTGAGTCTGTGACGGAGAAGATCATAATGGAGGAAGAGAAGTCGAAGAAGTGGAAGATGGAGAACTTGAGGAGGAAGCATAACTACGTGCCATTCATGTTCAATTTCCTCAAGATTCTTGAGGAGAAGCAGCAGTTGAAGCCCCTGATAGAGAAGGCAAAGGCGAAGCAGAAGTCTCATGGCCCCAGCGCTAGGTGAAACCTGCAATGCACCTACTGTCTCTTTTAGCTGGGGATTCCTTATAGTTGTAGAGATTGGCCCTGTGTCCTTTGTTTCTTGGCCAGTGTTTGAACCTTATGCTTACCCCTAGTTTTAGGTAGCGCACAAATGTCTGCCGTTAGATATTCAGGTGAATGAATCTTGACGAGGCCAGTGCCCCGTGGACTGTGTGCAGTCATACTGTATGAAAACCATGCATGGTTTACCCAGTTTTTTTCCTGGCAAACTAATGGTGTCGTTTGCTGACACATGTCAAGCCTTGTTTGTTCCTGAAACGTAGAGGATGACGCAATCAGTGTATGAAAACCATGCATGGTTTTCCCAGTTTTTTTTCCTGGCAAACCAATGGTGTCGTTTGCTGACACATGTCAAGCCTTGTTTGTTTCTGAAACGTAGAGGATGACGCAATCACGAACATGTCTACTCTTCCAATTTGCCCTAGTCTCCTGCAACACATCATACGATTCGTTTCACACCACCCATAAGTTTGCTGGAAGGCATGTTCGGCTGGTATTAAAGCCGGCTAAAGCTGTTTTGTTGTGAGAGAAAAATATTGTAGATTCTAGCTGATAAGCCGGCTGATAAGTTTGCCCGAAGATTGGAGTTTGCACATATGCTTTCCGTTTTTATTTTCTATATACTCCTTGGATCCAGTTTACAAGGTCTTCTGACATAACATGGTCTTCTAAATTACATGACATTCATTTATTTTATATTATACTGTTATTTATGATTATAAATTTGTAATTATTAAATAGTATATTTAATTTGATTACAAATCTAATAATATCAACTTAAAAGTTGTTAGTTAAATTATTGATAAAAAATTATAAAGTTTGACTCTATCTACACAGCCTTGTTTCCATTTAACCGCACACAGCCACAGGCACAGCCCATAAGTCTGTTGTTGAAGCGTTCAGCCGCACAACCGAAGTACCGGTCAATGCTTAGGAGCCTACCAAAGTGCTCTTTTTGACTAATCTCTATTACTAAAATATATGGATTGTCAACGTCTAATCGGTAGGACAAACACCCCTCAACACAGATCCACCCGGCAGCACCAAAAACTTCCCAAAAACTCCCTACCGACGCCCCAGAATGGAAGGGAATGCTGTACTTGAGGAGGGAAAAAGAAAATTAGTATGGATGACAATGCCGTGATTGACTGATTGAAGACGAGAAAAAAAAAATAGACCATAATTGGGAAGACAATGCCGTGATTTTTCAGTTGTAACGCACAGGCACAGCCCTAGTTGACTAATATATTAGTATGACTTAAAAAAGACTAATATATTAGTAGGGGTAATGCAGATCCATCCATTTAACCGCCAGTACTTAGAAAGCATAACCACACTGGTTTTGTCTTGCTCGTCTTTAGCAGTTAGTCGTCAGTTGAGTACGTACGGCGCTCGCAGACAAGAGACAACAATGGTAGTCTGTTGGGCCGTTGGAATTGAACAATTATAGGGATGCAAGTTTTGCTTTTTCCGTAGTGGCCCCAAACTCATCCAATCGAACTGATCTGGTTCTGAAAACAAGAAAACAACTGGCTTTGAAAACAAGAAAAAAAAGAACTGGGCAGTTAGGCCATTCTCAATGGAGAGCATATGACACTGTTTTCAAGACTATCATATCATGTAGAATGAAATGAAACATGCATGAAACATCTACTCCCAATGCATAGTTTTATTTTATCATTTTATAAACATTTAATTGTATGACTCATATAGAGTTATTAATCGTGTCAAGAGAGTTTCATCCTCATGAAACTTCTCTCTCTTCGTAAAAACATTGCACATTTTTTAAAGTGCTTTGTAAAAGATCTTCGACGGAACAAGTTTCTTTTGACCATTCCCCCCTCTGACTAGAATGTGGTGTGTTAAAGCACAGTCTGGCTCTATAAGTAAGGAAATATCTCTATCCGGTTATTTGTAGTGAAAATCTATCTCGAGGAGAGAACGAGGAAAGCAGGGAATAGCGGAACAAAAAGAAAGAACTCTTAGGGGAGGAAAGCTTGCCTTTTCCAATTTATTCACAGGTAAATTCGGAGTTACACGAAGTGGAAGGACCAAGGGCGAGGCGAAAGAGGGCATCGTGTAGGCATAGTTCCAATGGTAAGCTGATAGAGCTAGCGAAGTAGGTATACACGAGATATGCTTGTTTTTTAATTGGTTTTGTTAGTTCATCAAGTCCAGAATCAAGGATGCACGGGATGCAGAGAATAACCTAGATAGGTAAGTATAGGTATCCAAGGCGCCAGGTGTAAACGATCAGTCACGATTGGTCATAAAAAATACTTATGTGACAAGCTATTAAATGTAAATGAAATCATCAGACAATATTGATGATATGTGTTGTTACAAAAAAAATTCAAGGATCAGTGACTATACACATTCAGTTATCAGTGACTATCCCGAGACATATTTTCCAACTGAATCAAATCATCAGACAATATTGATAATTTTCCAACCGAATCAAATTAGCACTATCATTAAGTGAAAATGGGGTTGGTTGTTGAATAAACTCATAAATCTATCAGGGGGATATGTGTTGTTGTCCCTGCAAAAGTTTATACATGTACTTAGTAATTCTCAGTAGTACTCTTATCAAATTTCTTAATGAACTTGTAATTCTCAGTAATACTTAGTAGTACGCAGTAGTACTCAGTATTACTCTTATCAAATTACTCAGTAAATTGACTGCAACAAGCAGAAATGCAGACTACGAATTCAAGAAAATCAAGAGTTACCATGCTGGATCCCAACTTGATTGATGCCCAAACTGAGGAGAACTTGGACTGATGGAGCCAAATATGATTGGGTAGCCTCATTTGCCATGGATTGGTGAAGAATCGACGCCATCTGCCAGGGATTGAGGATGAATCGTACCAGGCGAGGGGTTGGGTGTTGGGGACGAGCTGCTTCCGTGGCCGACAAAGGGCGCTGCCATGCCGTTGCTGAAACCGGCTAGATTGGGTGCTGGGCTGAGCCACTTCCGCGAGGAAGTCTGCTCGCAGCCGCCCCGGCCGCCGCCGTCGCCACTTGTGGCGCTGCCATCATCTTGCTCTCGAAGGATCCGCGGCTAAGACATACGGAGTATATGTGAGGATTTTTGGCGTGATTTTTCCCCCGCGCGCGCAACTGGATCTGCGCGGCGTCGGCTCAAGAAGACAGCACCGTACAACGCGAAGCTGGCTGTCGAGTTCGCCTGGGAGCACGAGCCCTCGCCATCGTCTCACGACACGACGGCTTCGCTCTCTCTCCTCGTTACTGTAGCGGCAAGGCGGGATTTTGCAAAACTTCTATTTTGAGACGACGGCCGGCACGCCCGTTGTACGTGCCCTAAGAGAGTCTTGTTAATTGCCTACCTAATTATTGCTTTGCACCCGCCATCATCCTCATTGATTTTCTTATACAAGGACTCGTGGGTCTCTGTTTTTGCACACCTCGCTGCCTCCGAATTTTCCAGTAGCAGCATGATGAGTGATGAAAAATAGATATTTCATATTTGCGGCCGGTCTCAAACTAAATTTGGAAGGACGAAGGAGCATTAGCTTTGCAAAGAGCATTGAGATAATAATCAATCTCCGTGCTGTGGAAAATAGACACCTTTCGCTGCATATTAGTAGCAGGGGGTGTTTGGTTTCTCCTCCTAAACTTTAGTCGTTGTCCTATCGGATGTTTGATACATATATGAAGTATTAAATATAGACTAATTACGAAACTAATTGCACATATTGCGACTAATTTACGAGACGAATCTTTTAAGCCTAATTAGCCTATGATTTGACAATATAGTGCTACAGTAACATGTGCTAATGACGGATTAATTAGGCTTAATAAATTTGTCTCATGGAGTACCGATGGATTCTGTAATTTATTTTTTTATTAGTATCCAAACACCCCATACAACGTTCTCACGTGACACCTCTTGAATTTTAGTTAACGGATCCGAACACCCTGGATGATCGATAACAACGCAAAACAATTAAGCTGATCGTCAAGGACCTGCGATGTCCCGACGCTGGAGGAGCTTGCAGCCTCAATAGCCACCAGCTAGATCGTCACGTGCCCTCTGAGCCTGGCTGCAGCTCCGACGCCGTGCAGCTGGAGGATGAGGCCCCGGTGGTCGTCTACTGCGTCTACACCTGCGGCCTTCCAGGAAGGCAGCAGACGTCGTCCCATCACGCCAACTTGGTTCGTCCCATCACGCCAACTTGGTGCTGCAGACGTACACCACCACCGCGCCCTGTAGTTAGTTAGGGTGTGTCTAGTTAGTCAAATGAAAATTTTTGATGTTACATCGAATGATTCGGGGATGTCGGAAGGATTTTCGGATACTAATAAAAAAAACTAATTACATAGCTCACCTGGAAATTACGAGACAAATTTATTAAGCCTAATTAATCCATCATTAGCGCATGTTAGTTACTGTAGCACTTATGGCTAATCATGGACTAATTAGTTTTAAAATATTTGTCTCACGATTTCTAATCAAACTGTGCAATTAGTTTTTTTCGTCTATATTTAATACTCCATGCATGTGCCGCAAGATTCGATGTGATAGTTTGGAGTGAAAATTTTTGGGAACTAAACCAGGTCTTAGTGGGTGGCAGGCTCGCCACCGGTGTAGCCTTAGCAGGGGCGCCCACAGGTCAATGCATCCACGAGGCACGAGGAGGGCTACCCGTTAGGCTTCGGTCCGGTAAACCTCACGGCCGTTGGTGGATACCCGCCGGTCCATGAACAACAATGTCTCCGCCACACGCCGTCTCGAGAACTTCATCAATAAAGTGACGTGTAAGAGGACCTCCCGCTGATTCACGAGCCACCCAAGCTGCCGCTCGCTAAGGCGGTGCTGTCGCTGCGAAGCAAGTAGCGGCTTAAAGCCTCTCTCGGGTGCCTGCCTTTAAGTGAGGTAAGATCCTAATCATGCAGCGATTGGGTTTGATCACTGGCGCCAAGCGCATCGACGAAGAAGGCTTACAAGGAGCTCTACGAGGCCGGGCCCAATGCTTCCAATGTCGAAGCGCTCTTCCACGACGTTGGGAATGAGTCACGCCAAAAGCAGCGGAAGCGCAAGCCCTCTTCCTAGGCTGCGTCATTGCCCTTATCTTGTCTTTCATTTGTGTAATATTAAAACTGTATATGTTTGCTAGGATGGTCCAGCCCACTGCTGTAATCCTATAGACCTCATAGGGCGCTCGCCAGAAGCGTGTTGCTTGTATCAAACATTTCTTCCTTAATTACAAATTAAAGATGCGCAAGTCTTTTGTATATTCGAGAAAAAAGACCTCCTAGGGCCCTCTTATTCTTGGTCAGTTGGTTGCTTTGGAAGGAAAGAAATGTGAGGACCTTCAACAACGCAGTATCTATGGCAAACCAGTTAGCAGCACGGATCGAGGATGAAGCCAATGAATGGTGCATGACGGGTTACAGGCATCTGCGGTCGCTGCTGGTGCTTATGTAGCCGCTTTGCGCACTTATATGTTGCAAAGTTGTGTTCATGTAATTACAATCTCATGTTGTCCTAGTGTTAGGGGGGTCATGGTAATCTAGGGATTACCGTGATGCCCTATGCTGTAAAACAAAACTCTACTTCTGCTTAATGAAATACATGCTACGACACGGCCCCGAAAAAAAAAACAACGCAAAACAATTGCACTATATATATTTAGAGGATGGAACGAATAATAAGCAGCGTTGCGTGCCCTTTGTACTATATTTATTCTTGAGAAGGAAGAATAAACATCTTGATGACTACACCTGTGTCCTTTGTACTAATGGCCATGAAGAAATTAGTTTACATTTGTTTTTTGAGTGCCCATTCAGTGTAGGCTGTTGGAGCTCCATTACCATTCACTGGAATTTGAATCTTCAGCCCTCGGATATGATCACACAAGCTAGAAGAGATTTTGGCAGCCACATTTTCACACAAATCTTTATCACTGCTTGCTGGACGATTTGGACTGCTAGAAATAGGTTCATTTCTGATAATTAATAAGGCTACCTCTTTGACCTCTTGGAAAATCTAGCTTTTAAGGAGGAACTTGGTTTGGTGTGTACCAAAGCCTAGCAAAGTGTTTCTTCCCCGTTGTCTTTGTGGCAAGAGAGTCTCCAATGATGCTTACTTTTTTCTTCTTTGGACTTTGCAAGCCTTGTAACTTGTACATATGCTTTGTTCATATTTACATAGAAAAAGAAAAAATAGGTAGGGAGCTTCCCCGCCGTTTCCCCTCAAGCAAAATAAGCAGCAGCATTGCGTGCGTCACTTGTTCACAGATAGATCATGGGCGTGTGGCACACCATTGTGACTGTAGTTACTTTAATCTCGCGTCCTCATCACGTTAACCAGTGCTAGGGCGCCAACAAAATAAAAAAGAAGAGCCCCTGGATCGTCCTGGATAACGCCTCGTACAACATGTCCTATAATAATGTCTGCACTCTGCATTTGAACATAACTAGTAGCACAGTCCACGCTCATGCATGCACATTTCGGCCTGTTCGGCTGCAGCCGCCGCCGTGGCTGAAGCTACAGTAATCTATCGGTAGATCAGGAACGGGGATCGATGGTCCCACAGGTCAGTGACCCTGCTTTGACAAACTGCGCAGGCAGGCTTGTTTATATCTTTTCCTTCAGAATAATAGAGTAGATGCTTTGCTGAGACAATGGGCCTGTTCGCTGGTTAGTGCTGGTGCTAGTTTGTGCTGGCTGGTGCTGGTTTTTTTTAGAGAAAAACACTGTTGGTTGGCTGGTTTGAACTGGTTGAAACCAAAACGAACAGGCTCGATGATGCCTAGCTTGGAGAGAAGCAATGAAATGGAGATTTTCTTATGTATTTCATCCAAAGGACCTAGTTCAATTAAACAAACATTTGAACTGCTGGGACATGCATGATCAACAAATATATTCTGCTCTTTGCATTGCACAGCATTGGGCCTTCTTGCATTGGCCAGAGAGGGGAGGCTATACACATCTTAGTTTATCATATTTCTGACATGTCCAAGCTAGCTGGCTTAGCTAGCCAGTCATGCAGAAGCAGAATAGTGTGTGTCAGCTTTCGGGCTGGGTGTCATTTGAGGGAGGCTTCAAGTAGGGATGTTGTCAAGTGCAGCCCCCACCCCCAACCCCAGTTGAGTTGACCTACTCACAATTCCCCACTTCCATTCCATCCCATCCCGTCTCCGGCCGTCTCAGCTCCGGCAACGCGCATGCCCTTGATTGTTATCTCCATTGACCCACCTCGATTTCTTCCTCCTCTCAAATACAGCTCCGGCTCCGGCCCCTATATTTCATATCGCATGCGTAGAAACACGAACCGCAAGCTAATCAGCCTGAGATCGATCGAGAAAGTAGCTAGCTACCATGATCGGGGGAGGGGGGAACCCGTATTACCTACAGAACCACCACCAGCAGCAGCAGCAGCAGCAGCTGTTCCACCATGGCGGCCACGCCCTCGATGCCACCATGGACGGCGGCGGCGGCTTCATGGCGGCGGCGGCGGCGGCGGCGTCCGGTTCCGCCGCCGACGCGCAGTGCCACGCGCTGCTCTACTACCTGTCCGTGCTCAGGGACAAGGTGCAGCAGCTGCAGCCGCTCGTCGGCCTCGCCCTCGCGCACGACGGGCCCGGGCCCGGCGCCTCCGCGCCAGGCGCCGGCGCCGTCATCCAGGAGATCATCGCCGCCGCCTCCTCCATGATGTACGCCTTCCAGCAGCTGTGCGGCCACGGCGGCGCGGTGCCTGCGTCCGCTGCTGCTGCCGCTAATATCTCCGCGCATCAGGCGCAGCAGGGCGGGAGTAGAAGCGGCGGCGGCGTCACCGCCGGCGCCCACGGCAACAACAACGGCCGCGACCACCACCAGCGCCAGCAGGCGGCTGTCATCGACCACCACGTCATTCAGCAGCAGTGGCAGCAGCACCATCACCACCACGGCGACGGCTACGGCGGGCGTATCGACGACAGCAAGACGGCGACACCCGTACCTTCGGCAGCCATGCCATCGTCATCACATCCTAGGCCGACGACGACGGCCGTGATGATGGCCGAGGACGAGGTCGTCGGCGCGGCCGGCACGATCATAGAGCTGGAAGCGGCGGAGCTGCTGGCCAAGTACACGCACTACTGCCAGGTGTGCGGCAAGGGGTTCAAGCGCGACGCCAACCTTCGCATGCACATGCGCGCGCACGGCGACGAGTACAAGAGCAGTGCGGCGCTGGCGAACCCGGCCAAGGCGGCGGCGGCTGCCGGGGGAGACGCCGCCACCACCAGCAGGTCGTTCTACTCGTGTCCGCAGGAGGGCTGCCGCTGGAACCGGAAGCACGCCAAGTTCCAGCCGCTCAAGTCGGTGATCTGCGCCAAGAACCACTACAAGCGCAGCCACTGCCCCAAGATGTACGTCTGCAACCGCTGCAACCGCAAGCATTTCTCCGTGCCGTCCGACCTCCGCACCCACGAGAAGCACTGCGGCGACCACCGCTGGCTCTGCTCCTGCGGCACCTCCTTCTCCCGCAAGGACAAGCTCGTCGGACACCTCGCGCTCTTCACCGGACACCAGCCCGCCGTGCCGTTCGACAGGCAGCAGGCCAACGGCGGCAGGAGGTCGTCGTCGTTGTCGACGTCCACGCAGCTCGGTACGTAATTATGGCATTTGGGATCGGTCAGACTTGATGAGAAGGTGCAATGCACTGCCTATATATCCGGTAAGATAAATAGCTAGTATTTTGTATCCGTGTTTGCAAAACACTCAAATTAACACATGAGTTTGGTTGCTGTTTTCATTATCTTGGAAAGAAAAAGAGCACCGCAAAACTTCCATCAAACTCATGCTGTTACTGTTCGTGCGTAGATCAATCGACACATATATAGAGCTGTAATTATGAATTAGTAGTGTGACTGTGATATGGGTGTAGTTTTAGTTTTGATTTAATGGTGCTACTACTCCAATAAGATATGGCATCAAAGCAAATGTGACTGGCATGTTTAACTTTGCAAAAATTAGGGCCTACAACACAACTGAATATTCCAAATAAAGTTTTTTATATATATGGCCCCGTGATGAATCTGGAGGAATTTGTGAGAGAAAAACACGGTTCCGGATGAAAAAAGAAACGGATCGAGCCGGGTTTAAGGGCACACGAACGAGGCCATGCATGAAAACTCAAAGCATGCATGAGTTTGATTGTTATTTCCACTATCCTAAAAAAAGAGAAGGCAACAGCAATCAAATAAACTCATGCTGTGTCGAACTGTAGATTGCATTGACATATATATATATATATATATATATATATATATATATATATATATATATATATATATATATATATATATATATATATATATATATATACTTTGCTATAATTCTGAAGTAGTGTGGTGGATTGTTTTGGTTGATGTACTAACTATAATTATTAAGACGTCCAAAAGGATGTCAAATGTTAGTGCACAAAAAAGGTGTTTGTTCTTCGCTTTATCCCGCCAATAGAGTAGAACATTTCCTTTTGGAAATACCAGAATATGACCCTTATCACTGATCAACCAAGATTCCAGTGCCCACTACCTAGTAGCAAGGCAAAGAAACCCGAACACATATATATGCCCCTACTCCCTAGCGGTTAAAAGCTGATTCTACTGGTAGCAATATTCATTCACCACGGAGACAACTCTAGTTTTGATACAAATCATCGCAGCCTCTTCGCTTAGGTCGTAAACGATCGTAAATTTCCAGCAAGAATAGTATTTTTTTCTCACACTAAATCAGCCAGCAGTAAATAATCCACGATCGTTTACGGCCTGCCGAACAGGCTAGTATCGTGCATGTTAAACCTCCAAAAGATGTATCGATTTTATTTTCGAATATATGAGAAACGTATATTTACCTATGCATGTAGTAAGGGTTTTCTTAATTAGTTAACACTACTCATGTAGTGGCAGAACCCAATGTCTCTTCACATCCAAGTTTTCTACAATCAAGATTATCGAATTACATTCACATATGACTGTGAGAGAAACAGTGTCAGTTCTTTTTCTATCTTATTGGGAATACCAGGTTAATAAAAGTTCCCAGTTCGCTTATATTCAAAAGAAACAGTGTCGTTTTTTCACATGAATTGAGTAATTGGTGGCTTATATTATTAGTAAGAACATGCATGAAATTGTCTTCGTTCGCTTTCCTGAAAAAACAAGCTAAAATACTGTTATGGCTGATTTGTTTAAGAGAAAAATACTGTTCTGAATAGAAAGACAAGCCAAAAGTATGAATTATAAAACAAATAAACGGGGCCATTATGTCGTGCAATGACATAGGGCAAAATTAATGGCACCTTTTACCCATGTACTGTAATGTGGTGGTGACTGCTAGAGAAAATCTAGAATGCATGGGTTCATCCTCTCGCTAACCTATCTTGATCCCAGCATCGCCATTACTGTTATGCTATCCGGACACGGTTGTATTATTTGAATGATTTGATCCAAATATATATGCATATGTTTTTCTCCAATCACTCTCGAGCGGTATTAACCAAAACTCTGTATTGTGTGCCATGTTAGTCGCAGCCTATATATAGCTAGTGAGAACCTACAGAAGAAAGATCATCGTCACTGTACTGGCACTACTACAGTATTATTTTAGAAGGCCATGCCAAAACATTAATGGGGCGGGCACAAAATCCAACCATCTCCTAAACTGCCGGGCTATTAATGGAGGCGGTTATTTTTATTTACCGAGGCGGTCACATTTGTCCGTCTCGTAAAATCGATTTACGGAGGCGTTCGTTTTAAAACAACCACCTCCAAAAATATTCTATTTCCGGAGGCGGTCGATAAATCGATTTTTTAAGGCAGGCACAGTATAAGGCCCGCCTCCTAAAATCTGAGGCCAGGCAAAGCCCAAGAGGCCCAGTTCCGAGCACATGTATATATACCCCACTCTAGGGTTTTCAGCCTCAGCCCACTCCCTCCCTCGGCAAGACGAGCCGCACTCCCTCTCCCTTGCTCACCCGCACAGTGACGCGCTTCCTCTCCCTCGGTCACCCGCACTGTCGCACGGCGTCGCGCTCCCTCTCCCTCCGTGCGCTGGCCTCCCTCCCTCCTTACCTCTCCCTCGACGTGCGCTGGCCTTCCTCCCTCTCCTTTCTCTGGTGCGCTCGCCTCCATCCCTCCCTCCCCCTCCTCTGGTCCGCTCGGCTCCCTTCTCTTCCATGGCGGCGACGTCACATGGCCCTAGAGCGGTGGCGCGCGGTCCTCGAGGAGCGGCGATGTGCGGTTCTCGAGGGGCGGCGGTGCGGCCAGGAGCAGGCGGCGCATCCACCGAGCTCGCAGCCCCGACGAGATCCGGATCCGGTGACTTCGTGAGATCCGGCGCGAGGAGGCGGAGGACGATAAGATCCACGCGCAAGGAGGCGTGTGGCGATCCCCGGCGGTGGATCCAGGGTGGGCGCGCTCACTGGTGGCGGAAGCAGGGCATGCCCGTCCTCCGGCACCGGATCAAGGGTGGTGGCATCCCCTGGCGGTAGATCCAGGGCGTGCTCGACCTCCGGCGGCGAATCTAGGGTGGTGGCGTCCCCGGCGGCGGATCGAGGGCGGGAGCGACCGGATCCAGGGACGACGATGGCGACTACACGTAGATCTAGCCGCCGGTGGCGGCGCGTGGATGGGCTAGGCGATGGTTTTTTTTGTTTTTCGTGTTTGATCTACGGAGGCGGGCAAAGCAACCGCCTCCATAGGTTACGGATTAACTGTGACCTTTGATTGGAGGCGGTTGCAATGCCCGACTCCAGAAATAAAAAAAACGCAGGCCTCCAATAAATATTCTGTAGTAGTGTGGATTGATTTCTTTTTTGCTTAACCAAATTTATTTATGATTCTTCATAATCTGCTTAGTTGGAGAACACTTTATAGTCCAAACGTGTATGAATATAATATAAAACCTACTCCCTCGGTCCTCAAATTTAGTGCATTTTGATCATTTTTAAATAAAATAAGAGAGAGTACAATAGACGCATGTACCCTCACTTACCTTCCTAATATATTGAAACCTGATTCTTTTCGCATGATTAAAGGGTAAACTTTTAGTCTCTTTATGCGTCTATGACAAGTGTATGAATTACTTTCCTTATACAAAATAATCTCGTATTTTATTTAAGTAAACATTATCCAAACATTTTTTACTGCTCTAGATTTTGGCTTGATTATCCAAAAAATTTAAACACAGGTGGTGTTTAAATAAATGGGCTAAAGTTTAGAGGTGTCACATCGGATGTCATATGGGGGTGTGACATGGGAGTGTTCGGATAGTAATAATAAAACAAATTACAGAAGTCTTTATTAATTCGCGAGACGAATTTATTAAGCCTAATTAATCCATTATTAACACATATTTACTGTAGCACAACATTATCAAATCATGGACTAATTAGGCTTCAAAAATTCGTCTCATAAATTATTCGCAATCTATGTAATTAATTATTTTTTTAGTTTATATTTAATACCGTATGTATATATTTAAATATACGATATGATAGAGATTAAATTTTAGAGGAAGAAACTAAAAACTCAATTAAGAAAGGACATGTCTGGCTCAAGAACTTACATGCCCTCCAATCCACTCAGAGGGCACGCCCAACGCGGGCTGTCACAGCTGTATGCCCCAGGCTCCATGTAGACGAGGATGCATTTGAGGCTGCTCGTCTCGCAATGCGGGCAGACAGGCTGCTCTGGACTCCGTACCACCGAGAGCACAGCCAGTACAGTACATGTGTACAGCAGCAACTTTATTTCCGGTCCCACGGTCACAACGCGAGCCGCCTGAACTTTTTCTGCAAGCAGTTCTGACTCCCTGCGAAGCCACCATACGACGTGACAGTGACTCTCTGTGGTGATATGGAACTGGGGCAGCACGCCAGAGAGGCGCGTTGGGAAGCCCAGCTCCAGTGCTCGTCCTCGTTCGTTTGACTGTATCAATCATGCTTATTGTGGCGCTGTTTAGTTCCCAGCAATTTTGACTCTAAAGTGTCACATCGAATTTTACGGTATATATATACATGGAATATTAAACGTAGACGAAAAATAAAACTAATTACATAGTTGGGTGAAAAATCGCGAGACGAAATTTTCGAACCTAATTAGTCCATAATTAGACAATAATTACTAAATACAAACAAAATGCTACAGTAGTCAAAACCAAAAAAATTTCACCATCTAAACGCGCCCTTAGTTATGCTACGTGTTTTTTTCAAGCACTTATAAACCAAGCCAACCAGGTGTTAAGACACGGGAGTCTTGAAACCAGCTAGTCGCACACCAATGTGTCAGGATTGCCTAGGAGTAGCAGAACGACGCTAACTAGTATTTATAAAAACTACTACTATGTACCTTTGTTTTTTAAAAAAATACAACTATGAGTTACGTGTTATGTGTCACTTTAAGTACTTCATGTTTAACTAAATTTATAGTTAATAATATTTATATTTATTACTTTAAATTAATTTATTATGAAAATACAGTTTGTAATTAATATAATAATATTTAGTTTATATTATAAATATTTATACTTTTTATTTATAATTGGTCAAATATGATATACTAAAATATAATACTGTTTTAGATTTGCATTCTTTTCGGGATGGATGAAGTAGAAGA